GCACTACACGCCAGACCAAGGAATGTAGCACCTGTGGTAAAAACCACGGAGATCGACCCTGTTTGATGGGTCAAAACGTGTGCTTCCAATGTGGCAAAGCTAGGACACTATATAAGGGAGTGCCCCCTTAATGTGGATGGCTCAAGGCCCCAAGCTCAAGGGAGGGTCTTTGCCCTCATAAGGAAAGAGGCTGATAAGTCGCCTGAGATGATACAAGGTATGATTCAAGTTAATAATTACCTTGTGCATGCTATCTTTGACTCGGGTGCTAGCCACTCCTTTGTTTCATATGAATGCGCGAAGCGCATAGGCCTTGCTGTTAACACATTATTATATGATCTATGTGTGGCTACTCCTACGGGCAGTAAAGTTTATACGTCTGATGTTTGCCTAAATTGTATTGTCTGGTATGGCCACTGTTGCACTACACTTGACCTAATATGTATGCCTTTTCATGAGATTGATGTGATACTTGGTCTGAATTGGCTGTCTACCCATAATATACTCCTTGACTGTAAGAATAGGACTTTGATTTTTCCTCCTCATGAGCTAACCCCTCGTACCGAGGTGAAACTGAACTTGATTACGGGAGCCAAAGCCAAGGATTGCCTAAGACATGGCTGTCAGGGGTACGTGGTATTCTTCTCTGTACATGCAGAAGTGGAAGAAGGCATAACAAAGATACCCGTGGTATGCGATTTTCCAGAAGTCTTTCCGACAGAAATTAGCGGGTTACCTCCGGAGCACGAGAGGTAGAGTTTGCAATTGACCTAGTACCTGGGGCAGGGCCAATTTCCAAAGCCCCATATCGTATGGCTCCAAATGAAATGGCAGAGTTAAAGAAGCAATTAGAGGAACTATTAGAAAAGAATTTTATCCGGCCCAGTGTGTCACCATGGGGAGCACCCGTCTTATTCGTCCGTAAGAAGGACGGTAGCCTAAGGTTATGCATTGATTACCGGGAGCTCAACAAAGTGACGATTAAAAACAAGTACCCACTACCTAGAATAGATGATTTGCTAGACCAATTAGTTGGTGCCACAGTGTTCTCCAAGATTGACTTGAGATCAGGTTACCACCAACTGAGGATTAAAGCAGAGGACATTCCGAAGACCGCTTTTTGAACACGGTATGGGCACTATGAGTTCTTGGTAATGCCCTTCGGACTAACAAATGCCCCTGCGATTTTCATGGATTACATGAACAGGATCTTTCGGCCATATCTAGATCAGTTTGTGGTGGTTTTCATTGATGATATCTTAGTATATTCCAAGTCACCAGCAGAGCACGAACAGCATTTACGGATCGTTCTAAGTATTCTGAAGGAGAAACGGCTATATGCCAAACTCAGCAAGTGTGAGTTTTGGCTAAATGAAGTAAAGTTCTTGGGTCATTTGATTACCCAAGATGGAGTAGCAGTAGATCCCAGTAAGGTGGAAGCAGTTTTGAACTGGGAGCAACCAAAAACAGTAACAGAAATACGAAGCTTTTTGGGATTGGCAGGTTACTATAGAAGATTTATTAAAGATTTTTCGAGAATTGCACAGCCCCTGACTAAACTTACACGTAAGAACCAGCAACTTGTGTGGGATGATAAGTGTGAGGCTAGCTTCCAAGAGCTAAAACGAAGGTTGACCTCGACCCCTGTGCTGATAATTCCCGATCCAACCTTACTGTATGTTGTATATACTGATGCTAGCAAGCAAGGGTTAGGTTGTGTATTAATGCAGCAAGGACGAGTAGTCGCCTACGCCTCACGACAGTTAAAGTCTCATGAAGAGAATTATCCCACTCACGACTTAGAATTAGCTGCAATAGTTTATGCCTTAAAAATCTGGAGGCATTATCTATATGGGGCAACCCTTGAACTATATTGTGACCACAAAAGTCTTAAGTACCTGCAAGATCAAAAAGAACTAAACATGAGACAACGGCGATGGATGGAGTTGCTCAAGGATTATGACTACCAGATAAAATACCATCCGGGCAAGGCTAATGTGGTAGCTGACGCCTTAAGCCGAAAGGTAGTACAAGTAGCATTCCTAATGATTCAGGAACGAAAACTCATCGAAGATGTGAGAGATTGGGAACCTTTGTCCCATATGAAACTAATGACCCAGAAAGTAGAAGTGTTGAGAGCAGGAGCCCAGCTGATAGAACAAATCAAAAAGGCCCAGAAGAACGATCCGGTAGCTGATACACTTCAGATTAAGCTAACAAAAGCTGAGGATGATGTGATCAAGGTGTCACCAGATGGAATATTGAAGTATAAGGAACGGGTATATGTTCCAGAGTCTATCAGGCAACAACTATTGGAGGAAGCACATAAGAGCAAATATACGATACATCCGGGAATGACAAAGATGTACCAAGACCTCCAACGTATATTTTGGTGGCCTAGCATGAAGAAGGACATAACAGAGTATGTATCTAAATGCCTCACTTGCCAGAAGGTCAAAACGGAGCATCAAAGACCGTCAGGGCTTTTACATCCTCTAAATATTCCAGAATGGAAATGGGATAGTATCTCTATGGATTTCATTATGGGATTACCCCGTACCTCATCTGGATATGACACGATATGGGTGATTATTGATTGATTAACAAAGTCTGCCCATTTTCTGGCAATGAAGAAAGACTACCAACCAGAAAAACTTGCCAAGTTATATATAAGAGAAATTGTGAGATTACATGGAGTGCCAGAGTCGATTGTATCTGACTGAGATCCTCGGTTTCTATCCCAATTCTGGAAGGCACTGCAGCAAGCAATGGGCACCAAGCTGAGTTTCAGTACAGCATATCACCCACAGACAGACGGTTAGACAAAGCGAACCATACAGACACTGGAAGATATGTTGAGAGCCTGTGTATTGAATTTCAAAGGTAATTGGGATGACTATCTGCCATTGGCAGAATTTGCTTATAATAACAGTTATCACTCCAGTATACAAATGGCTCTGTATGAAGCTTTGTATGGTCGCAAGTGTAGATCCCCACTGTGTTGGACAGAATTAGGGGAGCGAAAGCTATATGGGCCAGACCTAGTCGAGCAAACAACTGAAAGGATAAGGACGATTAGACAGAAACTGCTCACGGCCCAAAGCAGACAGAAAAGTTATGCGGACATTCGGCGAAAGCCTTTGACCTTCAATATAGGAGACCATGTGTTCTTGAAAGTGTCTCCGACAACGGGAGTAGGAAGGTCTTTGAAATCAAAGAAATTGTCACCAAAATACATCGGACCTTTCCAGATTCTGTCAAAAGTAGGATCGGTGGCATATAAAGTAGCCCTACCCCCGAATCTTAGTCAGATACATGATGTCTTCCATGTATCCCAGCTAAAGAAGTATCAGCCAAATCCCTCTCATGTTTTGGAATATGAAGATATTGCACTGCGAGATGACCTAACCTGGGAAATCAAACCAGTAAAGATCATTGATCGTCAAGTAAAGTAGCTGCGACGGAGATCCATCCCAATGGTTAAAGTCATCTGGGAGAATCAGGCACAAGAAGAAGCAACATGGGAGAGAGAAGATGACATGAAAGATAATTATCCCGAGCTCTTCAAATAAGGTACATTTTAAATTTCGAGGACGAAATTTATTTAAGGGGGAGGGAAATGTAACATCCCAAAATTTGGAACCCTAGTAATGGGAGTGTGCAAAATGAGATATGATTTGGGAGTGAGAATAGCCCAAAATAATTTTGGTGAAAATTCCCAAAAAAATAATTATTTTGGGAAAATAGGGAAAAATAAAGGGAAATTAAAGTGATAAAATTATTTTAATTATCTAAGGACTCCAAAAATCCAAGGAAAAATATGGATACACTCCCTAGGAATATATATGAATTTATAAAATTGTTTCCAAGCATTGAAAATACAGGAAATAATTTATGGGGAATTTATTTCTGAATTCCTATCGGTAAGGACCCGATTTCGGAGAAAATGTGAAATAAATATCTAGAGATCTTCAAAAATTCCCAAAACTTCCAGATCACACTCTTGGAATAAATAGGGAATTATCATGAAAAGAAAATAGAATTTTTGAAGCCCTTAGCTATTTTTCCTAGTAGAGGGCAAGAAATCGGGTATAGTATGTGACCGAATGAATTTTTAAATTACCCTAACTAATTCCATTACTTCCTAACCAGTTTTTAACATTTAGTTAGCATCCAACAAGGCCCAAATTCGTGCTCACCATGATCAGAACAACTGGCTTGTGTGCTGGGCAAATTTTCAACCATTGGATCAACTCTCTTGGAAAGTGAGTCAAAGAATGTGTGGCTAGGATTGGTTCTTCATTTTGGCCGACCTTAGCACTTAATTTGGGGCAGAAATAGCTGCCCAAGGGCAGGTTTTTGGGCAGAAAATGAGCTCTATAAATACCCCCACAAGGCATTCAAAATTCGGACAGAAATGGGACAATAGAGGGGAGGTTCTGCACAATTTTCTTCTTGGCTTCTAAACACTCTTCAAAGCACCTCCAATCCAAGGTTAATCATCAAGCTTTAATCCAAGACTCTTTGAGGTATGTTTAGGCTTTAATTTGATGCTTTTTCCATGGTCAAACCGTGACTTATTTGAGGGGAAAGTGCTGTTTCAATTTTGTTGTGCTGGAAGTGCTAGGAAAGGATAGCAAATTGAGTAGGAGTTGTGTTGTTGATGTTTGGTGCGTTTTGAATGGGTTATGGAAGAAATTACCCTATGAACTATGACTTTTCAGTTCAGCCAACTCAAGAACTCAAGGGTAGGAATTGTTTCAATAAGTTTTAATGGTTCCAATAGACTTAAAATGTGATGGTATGTAGGTTATGCTAAGGAAGTATGTTCAAATTCATTGGAATCAAATATGAAAATTTATGAACCTAAGAGGAAGTGTTCAGCCATCTTGAATATATGGACTTATGATTGGATTTTGAAAGTTTTGATGCTTCCATTGAACTCCTTGGGCGTTTTTGTGTAGGGTTATATGGAGGAATTGAATTTGGAAGCATTAAAAATCAAAGTTGGAAATTTTGACATTTTTCCTTATGAAATTCGTTTCTGTTTTGACCAGAACTTAAGGAAGGAATTTGATTTTGTAAAATTTGATTTGATATTTGAATTCTACATGAAAAACCATGTAGGATGGCCAAGGAGGTTTCTTGAATCAAAAGGAAAACAATTAGGCCAAAAATCCCAAGAAAGAAGGGTTTAATGTTTAAGTAATAGGTAATGTGTTTGAATAATTGTTGAATGATTGGCCTTGGTATTGGTTTGATAGGTACCTTGCCAAATCCTCAAGAAAACATCTTGAACTTAAAGGAAATCAAGGACCAAGTACCAAAAGGTAGCATTGAATTACACTTTGATTGCTTTCTTGCTTACATTGATGTGTTAATGTGAATGTGTGCAATGTATGCCGTGATGTGACTAAGCTTTATTGCAAATGTTGATTGCAATGTTTGAATTATGTTGCCTTGGCATTATGTCCATTGAATATGTGTATGATAGCTTACTTTCCATGGCATAAAAGCATGAACATATGAACAAGATATCTGCACAAAAGCATTGCACGTAGTGTTTGCAGGAATGCATGAAAATTGTGATTCTGTGCTACTGGGATTTCTTTGAAATCTCACTCTTATGTTTAACACCACCTAGGAGGGAGTTCAAGCAAGGGCAAAGGCAAAGAAATTGTCCCGGAGACCTAATGAACAATTAATGTACCCTAGTGTAAATTTTTGGAACTTGTTATGTAATATTATGACTTTGG